CACGGAGCACGTTTATTCAGTACGTATATTGCGGATAAAGCGTGTACACGCAGGAAGCTACTCATGATCAGGATGGAGGTTTAAGTTAAACAGAGGTTATATCAAATGGCAGGCATTTTGATAGTTATCATTAGCCCTGTAGTTGACTTCAGGCTTCACAGAGGGGAATGAACATCAAAGTGAAAAAAAGTCGAGCGGGGGTGGTAATAGAAGAGTGTTTCAAAGATGTAAGAGGTAGACACAAAGGTAGAAAAAAGGTGAGATGAGTACTATGGAAGTAGTCGAATATGACGTAGAGTGGGGTGATGTTAGTTTGAAGTCAGAAGCCAACTGCCAGTTTGTAGACTTTTTTGCCGTACGAGTATACGTTGCCCAGGGTGCACCACGTGGAGGTAAGTCTATCGTGCACCCCGGTTAAACAGGGGTTAATGATTGGTCCCTGTTTGTACGGCCGCTGCACACAGAGTTGGACGGCGCACCTCCCAATCCTGGCGAGCAGACATGCAGGCATACGATGATGCACACAGCGATAACGTGTCCCACAGATCTACGGTTTATTTTGAATTGTCCCGATTAACTGTTCTATTTTGGCTAATCACTTCTCTCCAATTTACAGAATATAATTTTGCCCGTGTATCTTTATCTTTAGGATTTTCTTATATTAAATTTCTTTCGTTGTCAAACACTATTACTATTGTTTTTTAATCTTATTATGCAGATGGTGTTGGTAATCTCTTCAGGAATTACATTAAATAGCACCGCCTGCAATTCCAAGGTCTTGTAGTGATTCCCTGATCGTCTTGTCAATTCGCTCACATTGCTAATCACATGACTAAATACAGGATATGGGACTCTAGTCTTATTAAAAACCTAGTTGCCATAGTTATTTAGATGAGTAAATGAATTGACATTCAAAGTACTTTTTAAATGCCTATCTCTGCTAGAACTCTTAAAACATGTGTATATCAATTCCTTATATGGCATTTGAAGATCCATTTCGATGTGCTTATGATTTATCAGTATTGGCATGAAAAATCCATATTTAGAAATATGATCCAAATATGGACTTTCAATATTCCTTATTGTAAGCAGAATAAGGGTTTACGAAAAAGCGTCTCACTCAATCCAAATATAAGTAGCTTTTAATCATTGTTCTATTTAGAGTAGGACCAGGAAGCAGTTGTATACCCGTAAAATAAAAGTTAATGGAGCGCATTTTTTGCTCAAGATGATGTGAAGAAATCTTTCAATCACTTACTTTAGATTTAAGTGATGAAAAGTTGGTAGAATAGTAATTTCTGGATCGTGGAGATCCATTCAGAGACCATTTTCTAAACGACCTTGGGGCTTATATGGCTCCTATAAAGGACTTAGAACGTACCAGATGATCCACAAATTAGATATATAAGAAAAGAGCTCTTCGAGTTCAAAGGTGGTAATGGTTTGTTGTCATATTATATGCTCAAGTCGGTGGAAGCATTGAGTTGTTCATGTATTCTTGACAAATAGTGCTCTGTAATGTATGCCTGAATTCAACTTTCGTAAATTTAGGCCCAAATTTGGGTGGATGTTGGCCGAATGATTTACTCCTATGGTTTATCATTATCAATTCCTTCCATCTGTATTTTAAATCGACCAGAATTCGATTGGCCTATTCTCGTTTTCTATGTCTTTTAGCGTCAACTGAAGCAATTTGAGGAATCAGGAGAATATCTGAATGTGCGTCAATTCATCGACGCCAAATATGGACTCTGGTCAGAAGACCGCAAAATGGCAGACCGAGCTGCAATGGAGGCTCATATTGCGAATCAAGATGCTTTCATTGAAAAGGGTTATTACCCCTGGGATGAGCCCTCAGAGACCGGTGAGTATCAGTGTCTCATCTCGGCTACTGTTTTCTTGTCATTTTCTGAAGCCTTAAACTAAACCAGCCTTCATTTCTGCCTCTGTTCTATGCATTATATTTACTTACGCCATATTGTGGGTTCGCCGAAATATTGTGCTTCTTTCTCCTTTATATTAGAATTGCATCTTCTCATATTCACTGTTCTCGTTTTCAAATCTGTGCAGATAAACGCATGTGCTTGAGTGTTGTAACTATAGTGGGAATGGAGGGTGCCATAGTTGGAAAGAGTAAATATACTGTTTTATGTTTCTTTCTTCTTTTGTGTAATCCCGTGTTTCACTTTATCCCCATCTTTGGAGTTGCATACCCATTTGTTTGTTGTACGCCGTGTATTTTAATGGTAAAAAATTGAAATTGGCAAACTTTTCTTGCCCTGTCCTGATTTCAGGTCACAAACGATGATTGCCCTAACATCCCTCATGTTAATGAGCCGTCTGCTAAAAGTGTGCAAAACACATCCCTCTCCCCCCCCCCCCCCCCCCCTCCTTTAGCCATCCTGGTATTTTTTATTAGTATCTTACCACTTCGGATATGCCGTAGGAAGTGTTAGCGATCCTCTCAAGGTTTTGGAGCATAGTTAACACTTCATTTTCCTCAAAATGACCAGCTAATTACATTGAAAACAATTCTCTTTTTTTCTGAAAAGGATACTTCTCCTGCAAGATAGTGGTCTGTGTTCTAATTTATAAATGTTCTTATTTCTGAATCTAAGTGGCTGTCTTCAAAGCATACTTCATTTGGTAGTCTAAACTTTACAGATGCTTAAGTATTCTCTATCCAAACATAGAGAATAGCAAACTCGTGCAGTAAGAAATAAAATGGAGGGTTGATTTCTGGGGATATTGAATTCTCCACTATCCCATAAGCATGCTAACTCACTCAATAATATCTGTATCTCTCAAAGCCCAATATTTGCAATTCGATCCTCGGATGAGTTCACATTAGCAATGTTCTCCGTCCGTTTATAGTAACGGCTTCAATTATGGCCTTCCAATGTCAATTCTGATGCTTATTCTGAAAATGTTTTTAGGCCAATTTTTTACCTTTTATTGAAATATTAGATATAAGACCGCATTTACTCAATTCTTGCAGGTATCATTAATTTTTACGCTTGATCGACGATGTCTTCTCACAGAATGTTGTGAATTTCACTTGCGTTGACCGAAAATGTTCTACTTTATATTCTATGCAGAGGGTTTGGTAGGAAATGGGCTTGACTGACTGAGTTTCTTGATTTTAGCCTATAGCATGTGGTTTATTATTCCCTTTTTTCAGGTTCTGAAAATGGTTCCAAGCCCAGGTCTATCCGCTACACCTACAGAGTTCAAGGCGCTAAGACTTTAGATGATGCCCTTTTGGAATCAGATCAATGCGATGAACCTGAGTCATCCACCACCTCTGATTCACAGCCGCAGCCAAACGCCTCTGACCATTAGGAGACATGAATATGGTTATCAAGTAAGCAGTAGGAAAAGTTTATTGATCTCCCCTTACCCTCTTCTGAACCGGTTGCAGTAAAGTACACTGCATACATCTCTATATATTTTGTTATCCGTATCTGTATATTTGAATGCTGAACTTTGGGCATTCTAATTCAATCTTGTCTTCCAATGTCATTTTATGCATTTAATAAGCGTATAACATATCGAATCAGTAGCCTACGGTAATTCTACTACTAAAATAATGTTTCTTTGGGAGCTCGACCCAATTCGGCTTAGAGGTCTATATATGAAGGTAATTATCTTCCTATAACAGTCTTTATGGGAAACGAGGCGATCAAAAGTTGAGTTTTAACGTTGAAGTGGAATGAAGAAGAGAGTGGAAGGAGAATTGGATTAGAAAGGAAGAGGTGGCTGTACTGAGTGAGGGCATCCAAAGTTAAAGGTAAGAGGCACTTTAAGGTGCGGGGAGAGAGTTGATAGGTTTCACTTCATCTGTTCGTTGAGGAGCAACAGATAATAATTCATAATATTTGAGTTTCACAGAGGCAATGAGCTAATTTGTGCATGATACATATCACAAGGTTGTGACACAGTATGGTTCTTCCCTGTCTTTGCGTCAATAATTAAAGTCGTTGGGATTCTTTTCAGCACTATGGGACGCCACAGAAGTAGAGGGAAAATGTTTGAACTTGAAAAAGCTAGTTTGAATTGCGAAAAGTAGAATGGCATAAAAGCTTAACGACTTGATAATGACTACCAAAGGATGTGGATGGAGTGGCAGAGACGCACATATTGAGGTCATATAAGATACCCAGTTATAATAAATGGTATTTGGAAAGGGATGTAAATGCTAAAATAGGATTTAGTACTAGGACGGTCAAAATACGAAGATCATTTTGGACGCGACATGTTCGTGATATCAGATTTAGCAGATGCGCCATGTGAAATCTACGGCGGTTGGTTAGTGAACACATTGGTTCTCTCAATCAGGGGCTATATCTTCTGTCTGCAACATTATTACTCCCTTCCCCTTCCTCGAAAATGGGTTTTGCAATAGGGTGCATTCCAAGATCGTTTGGGTGGGGGGACTTTTTAAGAGCCTCTCTTTAGTATAACATTTAGTCGCAGGAAAAAACATGATCGTTGGCTCGTATACTGTCATTCACTTTTCAATTAGCTTTAGTCACTTGGTGTTTCATGTTGAATGCACACCAAACGTGAACTGATTCTTTAAACATCCTAATTGACTTTGTCCCATCGACTCAACCTTTTTCACTACCGGCCCTGGTCGATTATCAACTCACCGACCACTTAGCACATGATGAACATTAGGACCTTTCATTTATCAACGAATTTTGGCGTGCACGCATTGAACAAAATACTCAATTTTTATTGGCTGCTCATTTGAGGAACTAAGGACCCCAAACCTGTCAATTCCTTTTGGCATATTCTAAACCACCTTGAACAAGATAATCACATTTCCGCTCAGGCTGCACTGATGCTTATCTTCCCTTCTTCTAGTTCCCTGTTTATATCCTCCCCCCCCCCACCTTTTTCTTTTGTCTTTGCCTATATGATCATAGATCAAATCAACTCTTGGTCTTTAAAATTGTAGATAGGTTTTAGTATCCTGTTAGTCTTTTGGGAAATCATTATTTTTGTAGGGGGGGGGGGGGGGGTACCACTTAACCCAGTGCTCCTCTACTAGTGGTTCAACTTATTGCCATTTAGTCCCATTCCAGATAAGTGCCTCCTTTTTTGCTATTTAAAATTGAATTTCACACATGTTCAAGCGCCGAAACATCACCAATGTACACCAAAAAACAGGTGTTGTTTTTCTTTAGCAGATGCGGAAGAGGATTTGTAATTTATGTTCTCTGTTGTTTCAATTATTAGGGAAAAATATTTAAGGTCATCCAATATTTTGGACTAGCTAGACCAAAGGTGAAAGAGAGAGAGGGAGAGATGATATATGCTTGTACAATTGGTGAGCGAGGGGTGTGCGATAGACTTACCTCCACGTGGTACACCCTGGGCAACGTATACTCATACGGCTAAAAAGTCTAAAAACCGGCAGTTGACTGCTGACTTCAAACTAAAATGACCCCACTATATGTCATATTCGACCACTTCCACAGTACTTACCTTACCTTGTTCTATAACTTTGTGTCTGTCTGTCTCTTCTACATCTGTGACTCACTCTTCTGTTCCCCCTCTCCACTTTTTGTGACAATTGGTGGCACGGAAGGGTGGGTTGGGAGGGGTTACAAGTTCACTGCTTCGGCTTCCACGAAGTTGCACTTGGTAACTAGGTGTTGAGACTAGTGTTGGTATTTTTGCTATCTTTGAACTGATTATATCGAACGAGTTATCTGTTACTAACTTGGCATAGTTTAACGTCTGTGAGCAAATGCATTAGAGTCATCTAAGGAGTAATGGCCGTTGATGTTTAAAATCAATTGAATACATTACCAATCTCATATTTGATGGAGGGGTGAGAAACTCGATTTTCGGCACTAACTCTATTAAGCGGGCTTAATTTGTTCGATCAGTCATTTCGATTAATGTATGTAAACCACAACCTCTAAGTGTGTCTGACCTATTTAATACCCCTATGATCAACGAATGCATATGTGCCCAGCTAGATTCCTTCAAAAGCACATCATGCTGTCTGCAATAAATCTCAGAAAATCAGGTCCTCAACTACGGCCTTCCCCCCCCCCCCCCCCGAATAATTTGAAAGCGGTCTTAGTGTGTCTGGTATGGCTATACCTATTGGATTCTCGCTGTAATTAAGTTAATGGTTGTCAAGATGTGATAGAAAGATTCCATCAGCATATCATTAAATAGAATATTTTCTTGTTTAAATTAACTCACTGGGGAACCCAAGGGTCAAATTCTGGTATCTAAAATAGAAATGAAATGTTATTATCTACAAGGTTAAAAACTTGACAAAAAAATAAAACCAACTGATTTTGTAAGCCTCTTTTCTGGCCATCTTCTTCTGTTCTTGTACTTAGGTTTATTTCTACAGCAACACACCATGACATTTTGTAATGTCATGAATGTTGATGATGGCCGCTTAGCTTAATGAGAGAGGAAAATAAACAATGGCCGTGGTTGATCCGAAGGCTATTTAGAATTATTGCATCTGTACCTTTAAAATGGTTGCTTCATCGATCTTTTGTATTTTGCATCGAAGCAAGTAATAAGTGTGTGGAATCAGAGACAATACAGCCATCAGTAGCTATATTTAGGAATTTAAACACTTGTAGCTTGATTAACTAGTTATCTCCATTATGCTAACATTGGATATCAACCTACAATTAACTCGCACTTTTTTAACACTTGGGTCGACGCAATCTATCTGCATAAAAGAAATTGCCAACTGATCTGTGGGACACGTCATCCCACGCGCGCACAACCAATGGCCAATCAGAATCCTTCGCTTGTTTAAGCAAATTCGCCATGTTCATTATGACTAACCTTACAGCATGTACAATTTGATCACAGTATACTTGCTAAATAAACTTGTTCCGTGCGATACGTCTGTTCACTCTATACCAGTGTTGTAGCATGCTAGTTTTGGGAGAATCTGCCACAGAGATTTCTGAGTCAGTCAAGGCTTTACTAGTGTGGCAATTCGCTGCAGTTCTATTCGGCATGATTTCAGGAATATATGTTAGTTTCTGCTCTCCCTACTGTCATACTCTTATTGATGAAGTGAATATTTAGATTGGCGTGTCCTAGAGATCCATCCAAACAATTAATCGAAATGGGACCGTACTGGGTAGTTCGAGGGACACTACGCTACCAAGATCGATAAAAGGATCTCTTGCGTTTTGCGTTCTGGAAAGTACGGCCGTGCTACTGATAGCGTAGCGAGCATGTTCGTGTGCTTGCAGGGACCTCTCAGCCAATCAGCAACCAATGGCTGTTGTAGCATATCGTGTGCTATTTGAAGTTAATGGCTAGGCTTTGTGAAATTTCGACATATTTGTTATAAACGTAATAAAAACCATACTGCTGGTATAGATTGGACAATTTTTGGACAAATCTCAAGCCAGAAGATTTTGTAAAATAAGATTGTTAAAATATTGTTAAGGTTTATCTATGAAGCATTTACAAGAGTATCAACTAGCTTCAATAATTTTTTTATCAAACAAAACTGTCAAACACTCCCACACCAAAACATATCTTTACAGGATTATCATTAACGTTATCTTTATGATTATCAATAAGATAAGTAAGAGAATCATGACGATCAATATTTATCAAGATCTTGGTCTTCATATATATATTTATACGAAAAGAATATATTGTGTCTTTTGAACAGTTAATATTAATACACCAAAATTCACATTTGCAGAAAATTACAATTGCCGCATAGGTGTATTGAAATATTTATTGCTCTCAAGCCATGCTTACAACAAATGGAGATACTGAGATTCATGGGTTATCATTTCGAGTTAAGAAATGTCATTCGTCACTTCTTATCAATGATGAAAAGAGGACTAAACGAAATAGTACCCAGTGCCCTTGGAAAATGTGCTATGTAAACTGATACAAACTAAACTAATATATTCTAAAACTACATTTTGCTTTAATGATTATTATTATATCAAATGACAGGCGTTTTAATTGTTATCATTAGCCCTTTAGTTGACTTCAGTCTTCACAGAGGGGAAGGAACATCAAAGTGTAAAAAATTCAAGAGGGGGGGGGGGGGGGAACAGAAGNAACAGAAGAGTGTATCAAAGACGAAGGTAGATAAGGTAGAAAAAGGTGGGATAAGTACTGTGAAAGTAGTCGAATATAACATACAGTGGGGTCATGGTAGTTTGAAGTGAGAAGTCAACTGCCAGGTAATAGACTTTTATGCCGTATGAGTATACGTTGCCCAGGATGCACCACGCGGAGGTAAGTCTATCGCACACCCCTAGCTTTAATGATAAATACATGCTAACGAATTGACATTTGATCAACCTCAAACTGGGATAAGAAGAACGAGCGATGTTTTTTGTAATGTTCCCGTTGGTTTTAAAATTAAAAATTTAAATGAAATTGTGAACAAAATTTGCTTCAGAAGTTCTCTACACCGTGACAATTTAATCCCAGATAATACGTTAGAATTTGGTTATTACTGAAATGGAATCATTGTGCAATTTTATGAAAACATAAACACGCAGAATTTAGTATGAAAAATTAACTTTTAGCCACTCAATTAAAAAGTTAGCTTCTTTAAAACTGTCAATGAGTTCAAATGACGATTTTACTTTGAAAGGCATAAGATTATTAATAGAAAATCAAAAAATCTGTTCAAAATTTAAATTACGTAATATTTCGTTTCTTATATTTATATTATATACGTTATTATTAGATCGCTTCTATGAGCTTTGTTTAAATAAATTGTCGACTCCTGCTCAATTTCAATTTTTTCGAGATGTCATTAAATCGTTTCTTTTGCAAACTCACGCCCATTTCTACCATTCTCCCAAAATGCAGATTTTCTTCAAACGTACGAACTGTGGCACTTATTCCCGGTGATGGGATTGGTCCAGAAATCTCAACTTCCGTCCAACAAATTTTTCAGGCTGCTAATGTAGATCCTAATGCATTTATTTTCGCCAACGCCTTTTAGGTACCCATAAAATTTGATCCCGTTGATGTGACGCCAGTTAAAGGCCCGGATGGCAATTTTGACATGCCGCGAGCTTCTTTAGATGTAATTCGCAAACACGGGATCGGTCTTAAAGGTCCTCTTGCTACTCCTATTGGGAAAGGCCACCGCTCACTTAATCTCGCTTTGAGAAAGTATGTTTTAAATTAAAATTCGCTCTTATTATATTTCTAGGGAATTTAACTTATATGCCAATGTCCGACCTTGTAAATCGGTTGAAGGTTATGAAACTCCCTATAAAAATGTTGATCTTGTGACCATTCGGGAGAACACAGAAGGTGAATACTCTGGTATCGAACATGTGGTTAGTTGCATTTATATTCACTTCAATTTTGATTTTGTTTTATTGTGACGACTGAGGCTCCTTATTCAGTTAATTTATATTTTCTATGTTTATATGCAAGGTTTTGTGTCGTTAGTTTAATTTTGTTTAAGGTAATGGCCAATTTCCCACATTTCAGAATATCATGTTGCATTTTATGTAAGAAATATTCTTCACAAAGGGCATTTTCGATACTTGTGCATTTAAGTGAAGGTCGTCTTCGTTTTGAAACATTTCGCGTTAATATATTTTTTTGTATTTAGGAGAATCCATTTGTGCATATTGTATGAATTGGTATTCAAGTGATATATTCTATTAACATGCTAAACTAAGCTTTTTCTATTTATGTTGTTTTTTTAGTCCTCAATGGCTGTTATATGTATCCTTTTCGATGGAAACATTAATGCTCTTAGCATTTGATGATGCTCTATTTGTGTCTTCTCCCATAGGTTGTCGATGGAGTAGTCCAGAGCATTAAACTGATAACTTACGAGGCAAGTTCTAGGGTCGCTGCCTTTGCTTTCAAATTCGCTGAGGAGAATAATCGTTCAACGGTGACAGCTGTACATAAGGCCAACATTATGTAAGATTTTTACACTCTTACGAGAGCTTTCTCAGTTAACCTTATTAAAAGTTCTAAAGGCCAAAAGGGGGGTTATAATGTTAAATACGTTTACACTTTCTGCCGCAGTTTTTTTTCGAAAAGCGCACTAGAATAGTCGTAATGATTTGAAGTTAAAAGCATCATGAGAGACTTAGTTCATTGAGGTGTATAAGGGAGTATATTTTCTTATATAATGACATATCTTCTCAAAGTCGTTGTATCAGTATATTTCCCGTATTCTTCTAACAGATGGTGCATGTCTGCTTTTTCAGAGCTGATTAATTGGTAAATTGAATTAAGTGATCAGTCATGCCATCTCATTACTTCTCCTGTAGTCAAAGGACTGTCAGTTAATATGGTAGTTCTCAGTAGAGTCCAGTCCGGATGACACAAGTTATTGCTTCACGCATTAGTAAATATAATTGTTAACTTACATATTAGGTAATTATTGGGCTAGATTTATTCTGAAATATTGCTGCATCATTGGAATATTTTTTTGTTTATTGGAGTTAACTGATGGATATTGGAGCAAACTTTATGTTAGGAATACCAACCGAGTGAAAATAGTTAACTATCATTTTGTTTAGCATCCTCATGCCATATTTTCCTTTACAATTGACGGCTATAATGAACCACATACGTGTTCATTTACCTAATTTAAACTTTCGAAACCAAGTATTCGATTTCAATTGTTTTATGCTACAATATCTCACTTTTATGATCTATCTCTTCATAATTAAAATCTATATTTCAATTTACACTAAATTCATATTATAAGTTGTTATCTTATCACGTCGCCTCATATTTTTTACCACTGGGAAATATTTTATAATGTAGGGCTTGATTTGTAATTATGTTTAGGAACAAGTGATTAGAGCAAGCTTTCTTATTGATAAACTGATTTATACCTCTGAATTAATGGTAGTAAGAGCAAGGTTGTTCACGATTGATCCCGATTATCTTAAGGTACAAATTACCGTTCTCACGTTTTATACTTATAGTACGAACGATCCTCAGAGCAATTGCGATATGGTGGCGGTGATTTCTCCCCATTCCGAAGTAATGGTCAATGGGGATTGAGAAAGTCGAAATTGGTGTATTTGACTCTGCGGGCGTGAAAATATAATCATTGCGACTTTTGCGGTACCCAAACCAATGTAAATATGTTCAGAAGTTGAACAGCGAAAGAGTGCATTGAATAGGATAACCCACAAGACCGCAATATTGACAATGTTAGAGAGTGTATTATGTGGGGTATGTATATGCACATTTTGCACGCAGTCTGGCAAGTAGTCGCAGTCAAACAATGGCGGTTGGGCGGGTAAGGGTTATATGCCTTAAGCAATGGGTAGTAGGAATGGAATATAGGCGAATGAGGAATCAGGAAGGAACTTACATGTGATTGGATGGATAGACTGTAAACTGGAAGGGTTCAATTATTCTAAATTCAACTTTGCTATATAAGCTAAAATTACTGCACAGAAACTTCTGGTGACTCACAGAGTAAGGGTAATCATGCCAATAACTATCAATGGGTCTCAGTTACTATGGGGGACTTCGGCTTGAAGTTGTTGTATGTGAGGATTGTTGTTAGAATAGACCCCTATTTTGCCAGAATTCGATTTCAGGTTTGTAATTCGAATCATATTATTTTATTTCAGGCGAATGTCTGATGGTCTCTTTCTCCGTGCTTGCCGCGAGGAAGCCGAAAAACATCCAAACATCAAATTCCGGGAGATGTTCCTCGATACCGTGTGCTTAAATATGGTTCAAGATCCACTACAATTTGATGTCCTCGTGATGCCGAATCTCTACGGAGATATTCTCAGCGATTTGTGCGCTGGCTTGGTTGGTGGCTTGGGAGTTACACCAAGTGGAAATATTGGACAACAGGGAGCCATCTTTGAATCGGTGAATGAAATCATATAGCCTTGAACTGTAGTTTAATTATCTCCTACCTACTTACGCTATTAAAGGTAACATATTTGCTCCAATTTTGTAGGTTCACGGAACCGCACCAGACATTGCAGGTCAAGATAAGGCCAATCCTACTGCTCTCCTCTTTTCCGCAATCATGATGCTTCGTCATATGGAATTGAATGAACATGCTAAGTCCATTGAAGATGCTGTATTCTCTGTTCTTCGTGCTAAGAAGGTAATCCACTTCATCATTAATTGCACGCTGTACTTATTTCATTTAAGTAACTTGATATATTTCTATTTAGCACCTCACAATGGACTTGGGGGGAAAAGCCAAGTGTTCAGAGTATACGGCCGCAATCTGTGAACAGCTTGCTTAGACCTCTTAGCCACATCTTTGATGGGGTCTTTAGTTTCCTCACCTTGCCGATAAAGCCATTTATGTAAAAGGAAGGGATTTATAATATCCTTTCGTTTGTTCTTAACTAATTAATTCTGCTGTATTTTGACTTTTCCGCAAATAAACCACATTTTTCACCAATGGCAAGTTGCACCTGTACTTTCTGATGTTACCAAGAATAATCTTGATTAGAATCCCACTGTATTGCTGCTATTGGCCACGGAAGTGCTGGAACCTACAAATAATAATCAACACATCTAATGGTGGAGGAAGTCATAGGTAAATTGGCAGGAGCTCTATTTGAGTTATAGTAGGTTTGAGTTGACTGCGTCTCCAATAGAAGTGTAGTTCATCCTGTAATGCCTTGTCTAATAAATTCATGGAACTCTCTAGAGATTTTTTTCTACCTTTCTTATAAAATGCAGAGACATTTCAAGCAAATCATGGTTCACTTATGATGAATTTCGATTAGCATTAATAGAATTTCATAATTTATATACATGTTAACGCGATGGCTTCGATAGTTGGTGTATTGTAATATAATTCTAATCGATTTTCTATATGTACTTTCTCACCCAGACGCATTCCGGTGAAATGCGGTTGTAGCGGATGATTGCACAAATAGGCCATAATTAAGCCCCAGCAATCTCTAGCAAATTCCGATAGTATAGAACTGTCCTCTAAATTAGATGGGCTACCTCATCAATATCGAGGAAACAGAACCTCTGGTGTAAGTTGCATTTGTTATGGTTGTGCTTTACTGACGCTGAGCTTAGTCGTTAACGTATAATTGTGGCTTCGCAGGGGTTATTGACTATTGGCTAGCTGAGGGGTTCCTTGCATTCATGGCCCCACACGATCCCTTATGCGATCAGCATTTGCTAACTCGGGATCAGTAGCAAACAGCAAGTTCAAAAATCTTCCAGTGCGCATGAGATACCGTGGTTAAACAATGATAGCGCTGTACTGTCCACACGGGTATTCGTTTTCTTATCGATTTTTACTTGTCGCAAATCTTATTCTGTAAATTACTGAAATATCACTTTAACAATTATTACGCATCTCTGTATTAAAAAATCAGATATATTCTACCACGTAACCTCTCTTTACGTGCCTGATTCAATTTATCGGTTGTTTGATCATATTATATAATTGAAGTGGTCTATTCTCCCTCTGTTATGTATTGCATTCATCTTTCATTATAAATAAAGCATCAATGATTTTCATTTGTTTGCACTTAACAATGGTCCTTGTCTTTACTTGCTTTAATACGCACACAGCTAAATTTTAATTTTATCGATTCATTAACTTGCATTAATTATATTCTGGTATAAGTCTTCCGATCTTATTCCGTAAGTTAAGAAGGGCTTATTAATGTACTCTAATTCGATTCATTAGAAAAGACTGACACCAAAGCTGGCTTTATGTGATTAAAAATTGTTTGCCTTTGGTGTTGAATGGCGCTTATGGACCAACTTGCTAATAAGTAGTGGAAAAATGCGAACGAAACATGGCCAAGCTTTCTTGCAGACAGGGAAGAGCATGCTTTAGAAAACCTATTCCATTTTGACTATTTCATGCAAGGTCATGTGTTTACAAATTTACTTCAAAATGGCATCTTTTTGATGGGTAAAAATTGTGTTCGCCATCCTTGCGTCATATTTATATCAAATGGTAGGCGTTTTGATAGTTATCATTAGCACTTTAATTGACTTTAAGCTTCACAGAGGGGAAGGAACATCGAAGTTAAAAAATGTTAAGAGAGGGGGAGGGGGAGAACAGAAGAATGTTTCAAAGACGTAAAAGAGACAGACAGACGCAAAGGCAGAGAAAAGGTAAGATGCGTACTGTGATAGTGGTGGAATATGGCATACGGCGGGGTCATGGTAGTTTAAAGTCAACTGCCGGTTAATAAACCTTTTTGCCGTATGAGTATGCGTTGCTCAGGGTGCACCACGTGGAGGTAAGTCTATTGCGCACCCCACTCCTTGCGTCATAAATTACCCTCCAAAATAAAAAATTTGCAACCTTTCACAGATCGTTGAATTAACAAAGCGTCAACTGAAATGAATAAATGCTACCAACAATTTACATTATGCTTATTTTTATTCTTATTCACGTCAATTACAAATTGGAAATGCGCAGTAATAGCATAGAGTAATTAGTAAGAACTTTGTTAATTTGTTTTGAATATGTAATTCAAATAAACTTCGATAAATGAGAATTGTTTTGGCCAAATTTCTTTGTGTCCCACACACTCAACGTCAAATCTATTCCTGTAAATTATAATTTCTCTGCGGAGCGATTTCACCTTCCCTTTGTTCGTACACCAACTTTCTTGGATGCATGAACTGTGCACGAACCCTCTGTGTGTCCCAGGTGAGTTCCCGCCTGCAGTTTAGATATTCTGGCGGTATCGCTGTTCTTTCCTGTGTATTATATTGCCATACAAGGTGCGTGGGATAGACTTACCTCCTCGTGGTGCACCCTGGGCAACGGGAGTTGACTTCTGATTTCAAACTACCATGATCCGACGCTTTGCCATATTCCACCACTTCCACAGTTCTCATCTCACCTTACCTTTACCTCTGCCTTTGTGTCTGTCTCTCTTACATCAGTGTTTCATTCTTCTGTTCCCTCTCTCCACTTTTTGAGACTTTGATGTTTCTCCCCTCAGTGAAGCCCGAAGTCAACTGAAGGGCTAATGATATTTACTAATAACCCTGTTATTTGATATAGATAGATATTTCTATGCGATATATTCTTGTGTTGTTTTAATTCATTTGGACTACTAATTGTAAAAAATTACTATATTCTAAGTGGGATTTAGGAAGGCAAATTTTAAATGCACCAATCACCTTATGGTAAAAAGTTAAACGACTATATGTGAAAATGACAACAAAACGAAGCCTAGAGTCATACATCCCAACTCCCAGAAGCAATTTAATCTCATTATTTTCAGGAAAAGGGGGGTGCGCGATAGACTTACCTCTACGTGGTTCACCTTGGACAACGTATACTTATACGGCAAAAAAGTCAATTAACCGGCAGTTGACTTCTGACTTCTAACTACCATCACCCCACTGTATGCCATATTCCACTATTTCAGCAGATCTCGACTTACATGTGTGCCTATCTGTCTCCTTTACATCTGTGAATCATTACTCTGTCCCCCCCCTCTCTCGACTTTTTGTCCCTTTGATGTTTCCCCTCCTCCTCCGTGAAGCCTGAAGTCAGCTAAAGGGCTAATGATAACTAACAAAGTGGCTGCCATTTGAAATGAATGAATAAAATTTTCAGGAAAAGTGAATTTGAATTAGCACAAATTGAAAACGCTGCTCACAGTCCTTTTTTATTAGCTATTTATTTGTTATTTGGCGTACATTTGATTGCTGCGTTGTTTGGCCCAGAAGTTTTGGAACCGATATTTAACCACTTTTCGAACTCTGACGGACAGTCAAAAGGTGACTTGAATTGTGGTTTAGTATCCAAGCCCTGTAGACAACTCTTTGACTCTTCTGTCAACTTGTCTTGACATGCATTCCATAGATCCACATAAGCCTATTAATAGAAAATAAAGTGATGGCAAAATTGGGCAATAGCCATTGAAGTTAGAGAAAATGTTCCCTTGAAATTAGGCATTCCAATTGCTTTTAAATAAAAGGTATTACCTTATTAATTCTTAATATTTGTAATTGTAATTCCTTGATATCTGTGTTCTTCTTTTCCAGTAATTTCTAAATTCGAGAAAAGGGTGCATCACACCAGTATGTACATAACATATCAACGTTATAAGCCATAACAAATACCACATATTTAATAGTTAAATGTGCATAAAGGTTAAAATAGTATATATCTTTGTTAATGTTGGGGAATGGGTTAACTAATTTTAACAGGACAGAATAGGATTCAGAGTTAAAAGAATTGACTTTTTGAAAGTATGCACGATTTTCTTATTGGTAAGTAAATAATAATGGTAACACTAAAGTAATACGTTAATAGCTTTGGACTGAAGTTTAAAATTCGTAGATTGAGTATTTTTGACCCAATAAATCAGAAAAACGTCCTCAAGAACATTATTCGATTCGTGTAAAACCGATAACAAAACCGTTTCAGTAATTTTCACTCGATCGAATGACATCCGAAAGTTCAACGCTTATACTCATGAACTAAAATCATGAAATCAAAGCTGACCTCTATCTTTCTTCGCAATTCATTTGGATTCAACGGGCCCTCATGTGAAGCCACAAGAGCATCGATCTCCGTCTGCATGCTCTCCAAGATACCGACTAATTGAACCAACTTCTTCTCCAAAAGCACACACTTTAAACTTGACTTCTTTTTGATATCCAGAAGTGCAGTTACAACTCCCTCAGTCATGCGTTTTATTTCATTCTCCACCTAAAAGAAAAATTGCGGAAATTAAGATTCTATCTGAAATGTTGCGATGCTGTGAAGTAGAGTTCCTGCTTCTAAAATTTCTCTGACCACCAGGTATCTTTCATTTGCAGTTGGCTAAGACCCAGAGAGAGGGACACAAAGAGATGTGCAGTTACGCTCAAAACATTTCATCGACTAAACGATGACTTTGCGTTTGGCGAATACACTTCACTTTTGGAAGTCTAAACGCCAACCGAGTGATAGTAGTTTGCGTACCGAATAACTGTCAAGTTGACAGAACCGGCATGCAGCCTGCTTGATAACAAGGCAAAAGGGCTGACTAAGATGCAATCAGTGGAAATGGTTCATAATTAAGCGAAAGATGAGCTCCACAGCTTCGGGGTTTGTTTTGTCAACTTCCTATCAGAGATTCGGATTTTGACTTTTGTTAAATTCCGTCCACAAGTTTTGAACTAATTAATTGAATTGCACACTTTCAACCGTGTATTACAACTTCCAAACCCTCTTAGAAAAAGCGTTTTCGAGCACTTGTCTTGGAAGGAGAGCAGCATTTAGGGATTGTCTCCTCTTCCAAGGGTCAGACTTAACTAATACGGTTGGCCACTCCTGTTGCAAGGTGTACACCGACAGACATCGAATAGATATCCCACTTCACATAGAAATCACTGATCAAAATTTGAATGAAAGGGAAATGCTATACATGAGTATTCTTTACTTTTAAGCTAAAATTGAGGAGTTATAGTAGCGAAATAGGAAATAAGGAGGTGGATCGTTGGGTGAATTTGAATAAGTTGAGGGAGAAATAATACTGTTTAGGATATTAATTATCTACCCTATAATTTTAAATATGGGAATGGCTAAACAAAGCAAACTTTGCGAATTTCACGAAGAATTATATCTACTTTGTGAAATAAAAAGTTATTAAGAAGCAAAAGTTGGAAACCTTTGAGCTTAAGAATAGTCTCTCAATCGTTCAAAAAGTTAGACTCTACTTAAATTTAATGCTTCCAATATGCTTTTGAGCCACAGAGGTCCTTAAAAACAAAATGATATCATTTCCAACTAAACTGTGTAGAAGTCCGCGTTTTCAGTGCTGAACCATTTAAAGTTCCCCTGTTTTAGATCCCTTCAAACTGACATCAATTAGGGATGAAAAAGGTTATTACTAATACGTCCCATCCAAAGAAGTAGAGGTCAAGTTTATGAAAGGCAATGGTTTATCAGAGTAAAGATCAAACCTCTTCCAGTCTAGTTTGAGCGATATTGTAGAGAATTTCATTGCTATTTTTAGCCTTGACAGCCACTCGCAGATCGGCTTTCGTCACCTGAAACAACACCACAATGCCGATTATTTATACTCTCTGTGGTATTCATGATTTATATTTTGTGTAGAACTTGCGTTATGTGCCGAGTATTCCGATTCAAAAAGTTTGGCTGCTTTTCTAAGACTTTTATTTTGTTCCTCGGATTCATTGAGCCTCTTTTTATACTCCTCAATTTCGGTTTTATAAGTGACCAGTTCTCGTTCTGAGGTTGAGAGCTTAAACTGAAGCTCCTCTATATTCTCTTTGAGCGTTTTTATTACATTAACGTTTCCAAGAGTGATATCGTTGTAATAGGTCCTCATGTTGTTCAGTTCCTTATCATGAGCCATTTCAAGTTGCTTGATGTGGAGGTTTTTACGCTCCTCAGTAGCATGAATTTCACACGCACGTTGCGTTTCAAGGTCCGCTCTCATTTGAGCTTCCTTCTTGGCCAAGCGTTGCTCCAATTCTTCGGCTTGTTGAATGAAATCTTGACGTAGGCTGGTCATCTAAAATTTGCATACTACTTTTAATTTTCCAGTAGATAATATATCACAAATTTGACTATTCGGGTTTTAGCATGCAGCAAAGTCCTCCCTTAATTTGAACTTCACAAGCCTGAAGAATACCAAAGCCCCATAGATATTGACTTACACTCTTAAGTTAATTGGATAATAACTAAAAGTATTGGTAGGTTGTAATTTGCAACACTACTCGGACGAACATGTTGACTTAACTCTGCAGTCATAAGCGTCAGGTAATAAGTTTTGGTCGCTCACCCAACGCACTAAGAACGCAAAACTGTCAACTAGTTTTAGATTACATTTATTTGACGCATTTTCGCAAACCTGTTTCCGTCCCTAACGCTTACAAGGTTTTAAGTTCTCCCTTTGTTTCCAGCCATAGAGATAGCTACTCAGAGCTAACCATGCGTCTGTCTAGCGGTGGATTGTCTATTGAATATCGCTTATATGAAAGCATCTTTATTCCAGTAAGCTGTTTTCGAGACAATAGAAGTGTCGCTTCCACCTTCAGCACAATTTTGATACATGTACATTTCCTTTGCTCAATTGAACGTGACATGACAAAAAAATGTCAGGCATAGCTAAATGGTCATCTTCAGTGGAACATTTGCAAAATTGTAAAAATCCTCTATTAAGCCAAGATAGGATCCCCAAGATATGGAACCTAGTTTTAATGAACTTCGTGTAATCACGGTTCCCAAATCATTCACTAGTATTGGGAAAGAAAACAGTTTTCATAACTAATAGCAGATATCATCGTACGAATTCAAAGGAATCTCTTTTTTATAAAATAAGATTAATTCGACTATCCTCTTTTGGAGTACCGCCACTATTATTTCAAATGGCAGGCTTTGTGATATTCATCCTTAGCCTCTAGTGTGCACGATAGACTTACCTCCCTGGGCAACGTATACTCATACGGCATAAAGCCTATAATCCGACGATTGATTTCAAACTGCCATAACCCTACTCTATTGGAGAACCACAATCAATTTGTGAAATTAATTTTTCAGAGATAGTTAAAGAAAATATAATTTGACCATTTCCAAAGAGTATTAGAGAATTAAGTTGCTCATTATTCCATGAGTAAGTAGCAGAGTCGCTCTATGTTTTAACACTAACTTTCTCAACAAATGGCTTTACTGCGATAAGCAGGTTCAATTTAAAACATTTCACAAAAAAATAATTTTTTCTCACCTAGGCATACCTTCATTATCGAATTGACAAATAGACAGGCAACTAACCTCTGTTTCGTGTTGACTTTTAAGTAATTTTATTATATCTTCGGATTCCAGTTGTTTTAATCGCATTTGGGCTTTTAATGTACTGTTTTCATTTAGTATTTCCTTTACTTCTTTTCTAGCTTTTTCGCTTTGAGCATTTATGAAATTTGTAGTTTCCTGTTGTGCGTCTGACTGCTTAGCGTTGTACTCGAACATCAGATGCTTCGCTTTCTGACGATAAATTTGCAATTCCATTTGTTGTCGTTCTTCAGTGTCTTCCAATTCACGCTCTTTGCGACGTAAAAGTCCGCAAGTTTCTTCATTCTGCTGCTTAGAAATTTCCCAAAATTGTGTTAATTTGTCGCGTTCCAGAGCAGTTCTGTTGCGCTCAGATCGTTCTCTCGCGAGTTCTTCCTGAAGACGAGAAACAAATTTCTCCAATTCGTGTCTTGTCATTTCAGAAGGCTCGACTACATGAGGAGGTTGCTTTGCACGACTTTGTTGGGTCTTCTGTGGCTGCGATTTCTTCTTTTTTGTCACTGTTTTTTGCCTTGAAATAATAACAATAACAAGGAGATAAATGATTTCCTGTTACGATAGAGAATATTGTTCTGAAATTCTGAGCTAATATTTTTGGTAAAATCATCTTATATAATTACTGCAGCATTTGCTACTATAATTTTGTTCAAGATGGTATGTGTAATAAAGATGAGGTGATTTTGAACGTTTCTACATAATTCGGCATATTTAACAAATGATTAAATGATTTATAAATGACACGTACTAAATAGTGCGCACATTTTCACGAAACAGTATTGGAAAATTGCACTAATTCCGAATATATGATATGACGCACTAATTGGAGTTAAATAATAAAAAATTAGATAACAGTTTCTAAATAAATTTAATATTTGCCCATGCATGGATTTATTTTCGTAAAAGACCGTTTTTTATGTAAATTGATTTGTATACAATGGTTTTTCAATGATATATCATATAACAGGAGATTTATTCGTCCAGTTTCTAATTATCCATCTCTAAAGATATTCTATGTTTGAGCTGAATACTTTGGACACATTTTTAAAGCTACCGATTATGTCTATTTTCAATAGCATTTGCTTAAGTATAATGACTATTATTTATATCATTATGTAACATACATTTGTTTTTATTTCGTGTATCATCTGAATAATTACTTTTATGATATCGCTGGGTTGTAGCTTTGTTAAATAAATCCAAGGACGAAATTTAGTAACAATATTGTTCAAAATTATTAGCTAGTAAATTTTAAATAATATTTTATTTAAAATCTAGTTTAATCTTTGTTTTTGTAACGATTATGAAATTCAAGCAGTAGTAAATTTTTATTTTGGCTATTAATATTACTAGCACGGCTACTTCTTAGCATACACTACTTAATCGATCATATTGTACAATTCTCACGTAGTTTAAACTCCATAATGGCAACTGGAACACCACTAGTACTTCCTGTTAAAATATTTCTCATTAATCACACATATATACACAATCTTTACTTCGCCTCCTTGTCTATTAATCTCCAAGTACTTAAGAGAGTTTTAATGATTGGCCCCTAGAGTTTTTTTCTGAATACAAATGCCTTGTTCTTAATAAGAATTGGTCCCCACTTCGGCTCTGTAATTCATGTTTAAGGGACACAAAGCAACCCCAATTACTGAGTAGTTCTTGGAGTGATTTAGTGAGTGAAGTGTATATTTTGGCAGCGCAGATTTATTGAGCCTGTCCTATGTTCTGCTCTGATCTCCCTTTCCAGGGATTTCCTCAAATGTGTTTATTTTGCCTTCGATCATCCTAGTCACGTGGGATAGTCACAGTGCTAATTGAGGTATAACATTCTTTTCACCATATTGTCGATTATTCACATTAAACTTTGATCAAATTAACCTCATTATTTTTTTAATACATAGTGGTTAGATTGATAAAACCGACGAAGTCAAAAGACATTTCTTTCAGTAGACCGGATTTTTGCTTCATTTAGCAAGTTAAATAACTATTTTATTTCATTATTCTCAGAATATTTCCCTTTCCCAATGAACTGTAATTGTTTGGTTAAATTATCTATATTCTTGAGCATATTTGACTTTTGAAATAATATAACATTACTGATGTTTCCTCCTGAGCATAACCTGTAAATTAAAGAGCCCTATTAGTAGTAACTTATCATTATAAATTATTCCATATTTGACAGTTTGCCAATTCTAGAGTATTTTCTTTTTCAGTGCAAAGTGCGAGTAGAGGTAAAGTCATTTTGCTCTAGGTTTTTTTACTTCAACTGATAAAGCCTAAATCCCGGTATCCCTCACTCAATGACTGGTAGTTTTTAAAAAATTAGTTGCATCCCCCTCCCCCAGTGCAAGATACAATCTATCGCGCCTACTCATGCATGCAACATCCACACACACACTCATCTAATTATAACCCACATCCTATTCCCTTGAGAGGGAAGGCGGTCTTACTTCTTTTATCGCAACTAAAAATCTACCAGGAAAGGTACGGGAATGGAAAAGGGGGGAGATGTGGGGTACTTACAAGGGTACGGAGTCACCCCATCGCCTCTCCTTGAGGTATTAATTGCTTACTGTCTTTCTCACCCCAGTGTGCCTATATTTGTGTGTACGCGACCACCATTTGCATTGCCCCTTGCGTGCAGGCAAATGACACATAGAGGTATTTCGATACATGTGTATTCATTTGAATGGCATTTGAGGGAGAAAGAAGAGGGGGTGGGGGGTGGGGGGTGGGGGGGGGGAATTAACTTCTACACTAATATAATATCGTGTGCGTGACTAATGAACATAAACAAAACGGTTTGGCTTAAGGAAAATTTTTTCCTNGGGGGGGGGGGGGGGGGGGGAATTAACTTCTACACTAATATAATATCGTGTGCGTGACTAATGAACATAAACAAAACGGTTTGGCTTAAGGAAAATTTTTTCCTGAGTAGCAAAGGAATTTTAATTGTTTAGGAATAACATATTCTAAGGCATGGATGCACGTCTGTTTATTCAATAAATCTAAAATCCTCTATAGGTGATGAAAACGAAAAGTGTTTCTTAGCTTAATTAGTTATTTCCATAATGTTGATGTCAGAAAAATTAACTATTTGATTTACGTTTCCAACACATTAATATAAATGATGGTAATTTATTATTAGATAAACGTAGGCACGGAAAGAAAAGAAAGGATATTGTGCCATCCCCGCCAGTGTTCAAAAAAGAGCTTCCATTATCTAATCTTTGGTTGCTTTGGCTATTATAAAAAACAAGCTGCACCACAATGTCATGCTCTGCTCCGAAGCCAAAATCAATGCTAGTCTCTTCAACTGACCTCGTGTTCTTATTTTGCAGAAACCCAGAACCCCATTGTTCATCTTTTAGAGGAATTGTAAAATCTTCATAATCTTTGTAAATAAACGGTCATGTTATACCAAATGCTGTGGCTACTATACATGTCCAAGTAAGACACCTGCCACCACATTTTTAGCCGTGCAAATGGCTAACCGCTATGCTCAATTCTGCATAATAATAATGCATTTTTTCGTTATAAAGGCTCCTTTAAAGATACACCTTTAATTAACTAAAATCAGGTACTTAAAGCACTTCCATTAAAGGTCTTGGAGAAATTTTAGCTAAGGAAAGGACTGAAGAATTTTACTTTATTTCAGATTTGGCTTATTAAAATGGAATGTATTTTAAGCTCCAAGATTTGAATTCTGTTGAATTGGATGTTTTTCAATAAACAAATTAAAAAAGAAGGATATCTCCTCCATCACAAGGACTTTAAATATTCGTTGAGCTTGCACAGTAGGCCTTCTAAATCAATTATAATTTAGTTACTCAATAACAGACGGTTAAATTGTTTAACTAATTGGAAATGGTTTTGCTCTATACCCATCAAAACCCATCTACAAGCCATAGTTAAGATTAAATTTGCATTTATACCAACTTTCCACTTTCAGAGAAGAGTAAACGATGCAAAAGATTACTAACTGTCGACTAAAAGTGAAACACTTAAATGAGTGCACAGCCACGAAAGAAATAATAATTCGCCTATTTCTCAAAACTATGCTAACGTGATTATTGATATATCGATCCATGGATAATTCAGCGAGGCTAGAAGACGCAGGTGGATTGGGCCAATAAAAATGTCCTTGTAAATATCTGAAATAATAAAAACATTTAGCCATTTTTCAATCAATGTCAGTCATCTAAGTATTATTTTTACTCAATTTCAAATTGAATAAGATTTTGATCATATGTCGCTAAATGTCCCAAAACTAAATTATTTCTCTTTTCTTGTCATTACTCAGACATGTTTATCATGTGTCATTGGTGGAACAGAGCAGGCAGCTTTAAAACTGCAACCTTTCGACATGTTAACACAGAAGAGATATCTGAACGCCTCTATGATTACAGCGTCTGAGTCGTTTAACAAGATACTCACTTAGCAACCACATTAAAGAGTGTTTGAGCTTATCTGACTTTCTAGAAAGTGATAGATAATCATATGTCCACTTTGTTAGTGGTTGAAGGCGAATACTTCCAACTTCTGTTGTATCCTGTTTTTTTATTACTCGTTAGTGTAAAATGCACAAATCGCTCAGTTCTTTCTAACTACTACTTTTAGCTTTGTGAGTGGACGATTATGAAATTTTGATATTTGTGAAGTTCAGGATTTTAGTTTTATTCTACTCATAGAAACGGTTTCAAGGTTGTAAAGGAAAATTTGTTTTCTTATCCAGTGCGCGTCCACACCTAACTGGTCTTCAAAAAATTGACCTTAGCTTTACTAAAATTTGTTAGTATTTATGCGGCATCTCTAACCAGTTTGAGTACTAAAAAACCCGAAACTGATCTTTGGAATAAGTTACCGAGCATGTGAGATCTTATTTATCTTCCGACTCACTTTTATATGAAACCTTTTACAATTATATTAAAAATTATTCACTTGTCAACAAGTGAATATCTTTCTTAAGTGTATCTGCCAAAATCTTTTCATTTCATGATCCTTAACTAAAGTAAACTTGTTTTAATGCTTACTGTCCAGCCTGTTATTGAATTCCCCATTTCACTACTCATTTTGATACTACTAACTTAGTTTAAGTAAACATATTGCATATGTATTAAATCAAGCGAAAAGAGGTGTGCGATAAACTTACTTCCACGTGGTGCACCCTAGGCAACGTATTCTCATACGGCAAATGCGTCTATAAACTGGCAGCTGACTTCTGACTTCAAACTACAATGACTCGACTGTATGTCATATTCGACCCCTTCCACAGTTCTCATCTTACTTTTTCTCTGTCCATGTGTCTGTCTGCCTCTTTTGCATCTTTGGATCACTCTTCTCTTCCCCCTCTCCACGTTTTCTCACTTTGATATTCTTCTCTGTGAAGTCCGATATCAGCTAAAGGGCTAATGATAAGTATCATAAAGCCCGCCATTTGAAATAAGATTAAGCGAAAATGTTAGATTTCTTAAGTGCCGATTATTAGTTATATTAGAAACCAGATCGAAG